TGTTTTTGTTAAATCTATAGTTGTGTGTGAATTGCGCTTACATAAAGTAATGCGCAGTTGTTTTAGTAAAATTTGTTCATTTTACTATGGCATATTTGTCTTTTTTAAATTACTATTGTTGTAATTCAAATTAATTTTATTCCAGTTGGAAAATCTTTGTTAATAGCTTACGTTAAGAACAATAACAAAAATATTTTATTGCTATAAAAATACTTTTTTAATATTTACTATTGTTTTGCAATGGTAAAAAAATGTTTGTTATTTCCCTTAAAAATAGGGGGAAAGGGCCAGTGCTCTCCTTGGTGAACATAACTTTATAATCCACAGTCTGTGTTACAATCTTATTGATTTCACTTGTGCGAGTGAAGTGTGGTAAAATTTAGCCTGATAAAAGTATTAAAAAGATCACAAAATTTCGACGTTTTCCAAAAGAAATATTTAAGGTCTATTATATAAACGAAGCAGACTTGTTGTTTAAAAAGAGAGTTCATATTTTGTACATCATATAATATGAGTTAATTTTTTTGTTATAATAAATAATTTGTTTTAATGCCTTGCAATTATTTAAAAAAAACTACCCAACACCCAACAGTAGGTTGAAAATGTCACCATTGTTACAATGAAAATAGTTTATTGAATTAATAATTAATTTGTTGTTAAATTTACATAAATTTTATTAATATCATAAAACAAGTTTTATTTTAAACGAAAAGGAATTTGTAAAATTTACAAAATTTCAATGAATAATACCATTAGGGTTTCATTAATACTACAAAACGTTTTTGTAAACGGTATAGAACTGCGTTTTTGGACAAATAATAATAACTATATTTATCAATGCCTTTCTGCATCTAAAAGAGTTTTATTTTTATAAACATTACGTAAATTTACTTTATAATTAAGGCAAATACTATTACTGAAAGCAGCGTTTGTAGATAAATAATTTTTATAAAAATCTTAATTTTATTAAGACTACTTTTTTTGTTATATTTATTTAAAAAAATAGTTGTAGTTATAAATACATTAGTATCAGATTTTATTTATGTATTTCTGAATGTCTTTATTATTTTTGTGTTGGTCGTAGAAAAAGTAAAGGTAGTATGCAAGGGGTTCTATAAACTTCTCTTTATTGCTTGCTACATTCATTTTCAATGTTATTTTATTAAAAAACCACATTATGCAACGTTTCTGTTTTGGTCGTAATTTTGAGTGAGAGTAACACGTGACGTAAATTTAAATAATGCTTGGCTGCTATCCAAAATCTGAAGAAACGGCGAGGACTCATTAAATTTAGCCAGTCTGCAATAGTTTAAATTGTCCTTGATTTAATTGATTTTCATCTGGTAAACACCGAAGGGTGAACAATGTTTTAATTAAGTTTGTTGAATTTTGTCAGGCAGCCAAATAGCGATACTGCCGCAGTAATGAACATGAGGACCATATTTGACACTGTACGTTGAATACGTATAAACTATAGCGAGTTTCATTTTGCAAATGGGCCCTCGCTTAAAAATATAAATGTCATAAGTTCAGAATTTATCAGGCGAGACAATTCCATTTAAAGAGCCAAGGTAGAGTAGTGTAAAATCTTGGGTTGGGATTATGACTAATCCAGAAATAATCCGCTGTTAAAAAGTTATTAGGAAGTTTTCCGGTAATTGGCGTAAAAAAAGTGCGCCCAATTTAGCCTAATTGGGAGTTTAAGGGGCTTCATAGTTTTAATTATACTTTTATTTTTGCTTCTTCTTTCTAGCCCCCTTGAATCGATAAGCTTAAACTAATTTTAATGAAGAGAATTTTAAGTTTTTTAGCTGCTTCGTATGGCAATTTTTAAATCTTTAAAATATTCCAAATTTTTTTAAATTTATTATTAAAAAATTATGGAGGCTAGTCTCAGAAAAAAAATTAGAGATGCAAAGGCAAAATTGTGTCTAATTTCGCCTGAAATGTCACATAAACATTTAAAATTTTTCAAAACAAATTTTCCAAAATGTTCTAAATTTTAAAAATCATGGATGCTTGTCTTAGAAAAAAATTCATAGATGCAATAACAAAATTCGCCTGGAATAGGGCATAAGCATATTAAATTTTTCAAATTTTTGATAATTTCCGAAATTTTCAAAATTTAAAGACTAGTATCAGAAAAAAATAAGAGATTCAATTTTATAATTTTCAAAATTTGAAATAAGGCACAATTTTGTCTGATTTGGCCTAAAATGCCGCATAAACATTTTAAAATTTTTGAATATGTCTCAGAAAAAAATTCAAAGATGGAATAGCAAAATTGTGTCTAAATTGGCCAAAAATGGGGCATAAACATGTTAAATTTTACAAAATTTTTAAAATTTTTAAAAAATTCAAATCATGGAGACTAGTCTCAGAAAAAAATTAGAAATGCAATAGAAAAATATTGTGCGATTAGACGTGGAATGTCCCATAAGCATTTTAAAATTTCTAAAGCCTACACAATTTTCAAAATTTCCAAAATTTTACAAACTGTCTCTGAAAAAAAATCAATGATGCAAAGACAAAATGGTGTCTGATTTCGCCTGACATGCCACAAACATTTAAAATTTTTCAAAACAAATTTTCCAAAATGTTCTAAATTTTAAAAATCATGGGGGCTTGTCTCCGAAAAAAATTCAAAGATGCAATAGCAAAATTTTGTCTAAATTCGCCTGGAATAGGGCATAAGCATGTTAAATTTTTCAAAATTTTGATACATTCCGAAATTTTCAAAATTTAAAAAAATCACAGATTCAATAGAAAAATTTTGTGCAAGTTGACGTGAAATGTTTCAAAAGCATTTTAAAATTTTCAAAATTTTCGAAATTGTCTCAAAAAAAATTTGGCACAATTGTGTCTGATTTGGCCTAAAATGCCGCATAAACATTTTAAAATGTTCAAAATTTACAACATTTTTGAAATTTTTAAAATTTTTGTAATTTTCTCAGAAAAAATAGACGTACAAAGGTAAAATGATATCTGATTGAGCCTAAAATGCCCCATAAACATTTTAAACATTTTAAAATGTTCAAAATTTACAACATTTTCGAAATTTTTAAAATATTTTTAATTTTCTCAGAAAAAATAGACGTACAAAGGTAAAATGATATCTGATTGAGCCTAAAATGCCCCATAAACATTTTAAACTTTCAAATTTTCCAAAATGTTCTAAATTTTAAAAATCAGGTTTCAAAGATGCAATAGCATTACATTATTCAAAATTTTCAAAATTTTTAAAAATTTAAAAATTATGAAGACTAGTCTCAGAAAAAAAAGTTAACGTAGAATGTTCCATAAACATTTTAAAATTTCTAAAGATTTAAAAATTTTCGAAATTGTCTCAGAAAAAAAACCAGATATGCAAAGGCACAATTAAAATTTTCAAAATTTCCAAAATGGTCTAAAATTTAAAAATTATGGAGGCTTGTCTCAGAAAAAAATTCAAAGATGGAATAGCAAAATTGTGTCTAAATTGGGCAAAAATGGGACATGTTAAATTTTACAAAATTTTTAAAATTTTAAAATTTTTGAAAAATTCAAATCAGAGATGCTATAGAAAAATATTGTGCGATTAGATGTGGAATGTCTCATAAACATTTTAAAATTTCTAAAGCTTACAAAATTTCCAAAATTTTCAAAATTTCTAAAATTTTCTAAATTGTCTCAGAAAAAAATTCAAAGATGGAATAGCAAAATTGTGTCTAAATTGGGCAAAAATGGGACATAAACATGTTAAATTTTACAAAACTTTTAAAATTTTAAAATTTTTGAAAAATTCAAATCATAAAGGCTAGTCTCAGAAAAAATCAGAGATGCAATAGAAAAATATTGTGCAATTAGATGTGGAATGTCTCATAAACATTTTAAAATTTCTAAAGCTTACAAAATTTCCAAAATTTCCAAAATTTTCTAAATTGTCTCAGAAAAAAATCAAAGATGCAATAGCAAAATTGGCCTGGAATGGGGCATAAACATGTTAAATTTTTAAAATTTCTATAATTTCCAAACTTTTTATAAATTTTAAAAAATTCAAAATCATGGAGACTAGTCTCAGAAAAAAAATCAGAGATGCAATAACAAAATATTGTGTGATTTGGCATTTAAACACTTCTAAATCTCTCAAAACTTTAAATATTTTAAGCTTAATGATTTCAAAATTTCAAATTTTTTCGAAATTTCAAAATCATGGAGGCTAGTCTCAGAAAAAAATCAATAACGCAATAGCAAAATATTGTAAAATTTGTTGTGAAATGCCTTATAAACATTTTAGTGGGTTTGGATTGGATTCAATTATTTATTAAAATATATTTAATCAACCAATATGTTTAAAATTTACAATTTGTATTCTTGTACTTTATCACCGCCCCTTTAAATCATATTTAAAATAATGTTTTTAAACCAAATACTTCAAAACTTAAACATCCGAATGAGCTGCTTTAAATGCGATAATCCACGGCTGAAGTTTATTTTATTTAACCAGTTATAATTAAGGCGTTACGCCTGCACATAAAAGTCCATCACAGAAACTTTATCAAAGTTGAAATGTCACGGTATTGATAAAGTTTCCAGTTGATGATTAACCCAAACTGCGCAAAGAGAATGCAGACGACAGTCTCTCTCTCAACTTACGACGAAGTTCCTTTTTGCTAAATTAAACTTTTAATTTTTAGATTAAACAAATATATACCTCCAATAAAAACGACTGCGGCAATCCTCCATTGAACCCTTCTGAGCACCGTATAGAGAAAGATGTCATCGAGATGTTTAATACGGTGCAGTTATGTACTTGATCAGGCCGACCTGGAACAAAAGTCACAATTATAAACAAATATTTAATATAAAATCGATTTCATAGATTAATCTGTTTAGGCGATTGTGGATAGATAAAGAATAGATTTGAAAGGGCAAGATTTGATACTTTGGAGAGAAGGTGAAGGAAAGAGGAACAGGGAGAATGACCACCTGTATAATATGTCAATTCGGAATCCTGTTACCTTGCATAGACCAGTGAGCACAAAAACTATCGCCCTGCTTCCGTAATAAAATTTCTGAGCCGAACTTTTCAGGGGACTTAATGCGCGGCCTTTGCAGAAGCGTTTATTCTGGTTCATGGTCCGTTGGCACAACTCCCGCCCCACGAAGACGACAGCTGAATGCATCGTTTCTTTAGTATCGCCATCCGTCTATGAAGGAATCGTTTTTGTGTTTTTTTTAGAGTAAAATATCTTTCACGATTCAGCACTACGCGACTGATGCATTTATCAAGATGTCTCTCGTGTTCTTTGTCCTCCTGAATTTAAATTTACGCAAACAATAAGTATTTTGTATAAGGATAAGGGGAAATAAAAAATTAAGAACGAATATGCCAATTTTAGACCTCTTTATTTCTTGGTGAACCATAGTATTGTTGTATACTGATTATTTCAGCTTCTTCCTCTTTTTTCTATTTAAGAAGATCACCTATTTCTTTACAAACTCATGGACATAAAATGAAACGGTTTGACAATTAAAAAACCTTAAGGTGAGCAAGGTCATACTAAATCCAATATGGCGGCCGCTTCATCATTAACTGCATCATCTGTACTTAAGGCTGAAGCACTATTATCTTCAAAACCTACAACTGCCGCTGTTTAATCATTACTTGTCTCATCCACATGTCCATCATTTAATGTTAATGCAGCTTCAACAGCTGTTTCTTCAGGACTTTTTTTAACTGCGGTACCATTATCTTCAGAATCACTAACTGCAGCTGTTACATCATTACTTGATGCACTGTTTGGTGATGAGGCATCTGATATTGCTTCCTCATATGTTTTTTTGTACTTATTATCGCTTCTGTTGTCAATTTATCTTCAGTATCTTTTGAAGCCTTAACGGTGATGATGTAGTTGCTTCTTTTTCCTTACTTTTATTTACTCCAGTGACATTTTTTATCTTTAGAAGCAACTATAGCAATTTAATTATCACTCGTTACACTATTTGGTGATGAGGTGGCTAATACTGTATCTTCAGCATTCTCTTCATTTGTTCTTACATCTGCGACACTATTATCTTTGGAATCTTCAACTGCAGCTGTTTCATCATTACTTGCTGCAGCTACAGGTGAGGAGTTTGTCATGCAGAATACGCGTGTGTCAATTTCAATATGGCGGATAAAACTACCAAAATAACCTACTAAGTCTTGAGACTAAAAAGTAATTAAAAGTAACTACGTATTTTGACATGGTCGGTAAATCGTGTTTTATTGTCCTTTTTAACCTCATTTTCCGTTAAAATTGCAAATCGCATCACAGTGGCGATGTCTACGTCCCACAACGCAACGAGGAGAGTCATTGAATGCTCTCGATTCTTGAAACACAAAAAGTCCCAGTGGCTTTGCATGGCTTTTTTGCTGGGCATTGTACGTGCTTTATGAGCACAAAAAGTTTACTTTTGCATGCATCCCCGTCAGCATGCAACGCGAATTTTTAATGCGAAACTTTAACGCAACTCGATTTATCGATGGGGCATGAGTGTATGTAAATTAAATTTTCCATCGAAAGTTTCAAATCCCCACCTTTGTATCGGCACGGTTGTTTGCGTGAAATAAATTAACTTGTTGTTTTTTTCGAATTTTCGAAATTAACATGAAAATTGCATCAAAATAATGGCAATGCTATGAAATTAGTTATTTTGTTTTTGTGAAGTTGTGCGAAAGTTTTAAAACAGTTACATTATTGTTCAGTTAGTTATTTTTAATTTAAAATATTGTTTTAGCCATTGCAATTTTTTTTGTTTTAAAAACACATTTAAAGTTTGATTAATACTACATTTCGCGTTTTAAAAACACTAAAAGCTTTTTAAAATAATTAAAAATTGTTTATACTCACTTTAAATAAAAATAATCCCAAAAAAATATAGTAAAAGTGAAAGAATAATAATAAAATAAAAAATTATATTGAAATAGAGTTCATTTTATTTGGACTTTGATTAAGTATTTTTAGTATTTAAAAAATGCCAAAAATAATATCAAATTCTACCTTTTTGTGAAAAATCTAGTAAATAATTTTACTTTCACTGTGTAAAACAGTAAATTTTCAAGAAATACATTTCGATTTAAAACCTTTATAATCTGTTTTTATAAAATATAAAAATTTGACATTTGACGGTGACACACAGATTCCCCTATTGTTTAATAGATGGCGCTCCATACAAATTTTTGATTTAAATCATTTTAAGATAATAATAAGTATTTGTCGTAGAAAAAGTTTATAAAGGATTTAAAAATGTTGTTCTATTTAAAATACTTAACAAAGTTTGTAAATCAAAGTCTCCTAAACAACAAATAATTTGGAAAACGTTTCAGTACAAATTATAAAAATATAAAAAAAATTCAATAACATATTTTTGGTCCTATGTACTTTATCGCGATCTTTTGTCGGTTCACCCTTGAAAAGGCTTTGTGTGGCACTGTTTTCTATTAAAAAGCGACTTGATAAAAATGAAAACAGAAGGGAAAATAAGATCAAAAGTGCCTAAAGCAAACATAACCAAATATCTTTTTATTTTATTACGTTGTATAATTCGTACTCAAAGGGAATACGAATTTCAATCTAAAAATGGTAAGGAAACCACTATTTTTTTTATTTAGAACATTGCTAATTTATGGGATGCTACTTAATATACAGAGTGGCCCAAGGATCTTTGTACACACCCGAAAACTCCTGTACCGTTTTTGTTGTTCCAACCTGTTTTTTTATATTGCTAAATAAAAAATAAAGTATCTTTAAAGTACAAGTAACGTATCCGGTAATATCGGCCAATGAAAAACAGTCGTAATGTTGGAAACTAGAGTCTTAGACAATATCCCTGGAGAGGTAATGTTTTTAAAACAAGGAAAAATCTACGAACAAACTTTAAGCCTTGCCAGTCTGTTAAACACATAAACTATCTCTTTAAGTTTTCCTAATAAAATTTTTCTGCTACGAAAACTCTACTAATACCGATGCATCGCAGTCCCGAAAGACTTTTTAAAGTATTCTTGTATGTCTGGGGAATAATTGAAATTACAAACTACAACTTAAGGAAAAACTACCTTTTTATAGATAGGTAGCTTAACTTTTTAAATTGTATCAAAGTAAAATATAAAGTTGGATGGACCGAATGCAGATTAAATTTTAAATTGATTTTTATAATTGAAAACTTAACTTTAAAGTTTTTTTCTACTCCTACATGTGACCCGTGATATTTAATAAAACTAAATAAGTTTGACCTACACTTTTATTGTGTTTTGATCTTTTAACCGCAATAAATTATTTTTTAAAATGTTTTAAAAGTCTAAAACCTATCCTCCGTGACTGTTACTCCTTCTAGGTTAACCTATATGGTTTCAAATATCTCAGGTAGTAAAAGCATATTAAAATTAACAGTTCACTAAGTAAATTAATCACATCCAAAGCAATCGAATCAAATGTAAAATATTATTAAAAATTAAAAGAAATAATTTTTATAACCATTTATGTAGGTGCTACAAAAATTGATTCTATCCTCCGTGAACCTGTTTTTGCTTTAAATTTTATGCAACGGATGGCGCTTTAATCATTTTAAATAAACAAAACCTCTGTTTACGACATTATAGATGCATGTGATTCCTGAAGGTAAGTTAGAATTTATATGCAGATGAGAGTGTTGCTGTTTTATAATTTAAAAGTTTAAGTTCATTAATTTGCTATGTAAAAATCTATCCACCGTGAAGTGTAATATCTCAGTATGTAGATTTTTTTATAAATATTTTATGTATTGTATTTTCCCAAAAACCCCATTCTAGACTAACAGTGAAACAACCAAAAATAAAAATAATCATTTTCACATATTTCCATGACACTAAGTAACCTTTTAAATTAAAATTACAAATATTAACTAAATAAATAACAAACAAACAAAAAAAATAATAAATAAAGTTTGAAAAATGTTGAAATTTTACAAAAAAATGGTGGTATATTTTTTAAATGTTTTATCAAAAAACCATTACCCAGGCAGCACAATCTCCTTTTATATTTTATTTTTTCGGTAAATAAAGTTCATAATTATTTAAAAGCCTTAAAAAATCCACCGCTTCAGAATCGTATTCAGTAAATAATGAAATTATAATTTAATTTTTCAAACGATGCACTTATTTAAAAATTAAAACTATGCATTTTTAAAATTACCCGTCTGTGCTATCAAGAAGTAAAGTGCAATTTGTTTTGAATAAAATTTATATTTTCCTTTGCGATACTCACGTTCCGCTGTTAAAAATAAATCAATGCAATGAGCTAGTGGATTTTCCGTCAGAAAAATGTCGGAATAAATACCTGCTCCAACATAACAACTGTCCATATTTTATTACGAAATGGTCTGGTACATTTCTGCCATCTTAATCCAATTCAATTTTCTGTAATGCATTTTATTGGCAACAAACCAAAGCTGTTTTGTCAGTAATTCCATGCACTACAAAGGAGCTCTTTATGTTTCGTATTATTTCTACTTTCAGAGCACTAAAAATAATAACACTCTGAAGTGCTTATTTTAAATATCATTATTTCGAAATTTTATGTAAGCTTGTCCTAATTTTATCTTGTAAACATTTTAGCTTCTCATTATTTTATCTTGACATAATTTTGGATTGGACATTTTAGCCTGTTCTAATTTTAGCTGGCCAACATTTTATCTTGTCCTTATTTTAGATTTATTATTTTTACTTATCCGTATTTTAGCTTGTCATCATTTTACCTTGACATTATTTTAGCTTGTCCCTATTTTACCTTATCGATACTTTGGCCTGTCATCATTTTTGCAAATAACCATTTAAGATATTATTTTAGATTGCCATTATTTTAGTTTGCCCTCTCGTCTTCATTTAATCTTGTCATCATTTTATCTTGTTTATTTTATAATGTCATCATTTTAGCGTGTCTTTATTTTAGCTATTCCTTATTTTAGCTTGTCATCATTTTAGCTTTTTAACATTTTGGCTTGTCATCATTTTAGCTTGTCAATATTTTAAATTGTCCTCATTTTAGATTGTTCTTATTTTAGCGTGTCGTCATATTGTCTTCTTGTCCTCTGCTTAGATTGTATCTATTTGGGCTTGTCATTATTTTAACTTGTCATCATTTTATTTTGTTCTTATTTTAGCTTGTCCCCATTTTAGCTTGTCATCTTTTACCTTGACATTATTTCAACTTGTTATTATTTTAGCTTGTCCCTATTTTAGCTTGTCGATTTTTTGGCCTGTCATCATTTATGCAAATAACCATTTAAAATATTGTTTTAGATGGCCATTATTCTAGTTTGTCCTCATTTTAACTTGTCTTTATTTTTTCTTGTTATTATTTTAGATTGTCATCATTTTAGCTTGTCTTTATTTAAGCTTGTCTTTATTTTAACGTCCTAAATTTAGTTTGTCAAAATTTGTGCTTGTCATCATTTTAGCTTGTCCTTATTTTATCTTATCATCATTTTATTTTGTCATTATTTTATCTTGTCATCATTATATTTTATCATTATTTTTAGGGCTATACAATTTAGCCGGTTAAGCCGGTTGAAAAAGTTAGCTAAGTTAATTAGCTAGATAACTGATCAGCTTAGCTAATTTAACCGGTTAACTAAATTAGCTCAGCTAATTAGCTAAGCTAATTTAGTTAACCGATTAAATTAGCTAATTAACTTAGCTAACTTTTATAGCTGGCTTAACCGGCTAAATTGTACAGCCCTAATTATTTTAAATTGTCCTTACTTTAAATTGTCCCTATTTTAGCTTGACGTCATTTTGGCTTGACATTATTTGAGCTTGTCCTCATTTTAGCTTGTCATCATTTTGATTTGTCACTATTTTAAATTGTCCCTATTGTCGTTTATCGTCATTTTGGCTTGTCATTATTTTACTTAGTCCTTATTTTAGCTTGTCCCCATTTTAGCTTGTCATCATTTTATCTTGTCCTTATTTAAGATTTTCCTCATTTTAGATTGTTCTTATTTTAGCTTTTCGTCTTTTGACTTGTTAATATTTTAGCTTGTTATCATTTTTTCTTATAATTATTTTAAATTGACCCTATTTTATATTGTCCCTATTTAAGTTAGTTTTTCGTTATTTTTACG